TGCTTATTATTATTGTATACAAATATATATATGTATATATGTATGATTACAAACCACCCATATACCAGGCACTATGCTTGGAGCTAGGGATAAACTGATACACACAATTTAAACAGTCCCTAATCTCTTGTATAGGAGCCTATAGTCTCTTTGCCAGAGTTGCTGGCTGCAGTAGTAACAGTATCTGCCCCGTAGCCTGAAATGTGGGTACTTTGTAATTTCCCACCTTATGGCATTTGGAATAGTATATAGTTAAGTTTCCCCCACCGTTTTCGACCCCAAAAATAGTGTCTGAGAGTCCCAGGCAGCACTAGAGGGTCAGACTTGGTCTGAGTAGAGTTAGAGTTCTGTTGCTGCCCACAGCCAGGCTGACCTACCTGGTCACCGGCAGATGAAAAAGAGCAAACAAGGTTTTGGGTTGTTTTGGTTTTGGTTTGGTTTTGGTTTTGGTTTTGGTTTTGGTTTCGGTTTTTGGTTTTTGGTTTTTGGTGTTTTGTTTTGTTTTGTTTTGTTTTGTTTTGTTTTGTTTCAGTTGAAGCCAGGAACCCCCTGGCATTCCTTACTCTGGCTCCTGGAAATAAAACTGCACCATCAGATAGACAGGGGCCCTAAATGGAGAAGAACCCCTACTTCCCACACTCTGTTCCTAAAATTGTGTGAGTTGTGGCAGAATCCTTGAAGAGGGGTTTGCATGGGGACAACACCCAAGCAAAGAGTCTGCAGTAGAGTTTGTAGATTTGCCTTTCCCTTCATTTTTATATTTCACTTTACAGCTTTTCAAATCAACAAAAAATTGAAAAGAATATTGAAATTTTTCATTAGATTCTGATTTATCTTTCTGGAATTTCTTTGAGCATTTGTATGTGTGTGTTTTTTGTTTCTCTTTCTTACAGAAAATGGAGCATCTGAATTGCTCCTCTTGGGTATTGCTCACCAGCCATGTAGGTAACGATCTGTTTTCCTTGGTAATGGAGCACATTGCCAACTTTTTTTAATTTTTGCTAAAATTTGGTAGATAAAAGTTGCAGTTTAGTTTCTCAGAACCATCATTCCCTTTTTTCTTAGCAAGTTTTAAGGATCTGTTTATAGATTAAGAATATTAATATTTTATTAATTGTAGCTATCAGTTGTCAGTATTTTCCAATATTTTCTCCAGTTTGTCACTTATTTTTTTAATTTGGCTGATACTAATTTTTGTTTTGGCCATATAAAAGTCTTTTCAAAAAATAGCTAAATATACCTGTATTTGCTTTACTGCTTTTGAAAATTAAGTCATAGTTACCTAGGTTTTCTCACTCCTAGTGTATAATGGAGATCTCCTAGTTTTTTCTCTTGTATTTTTATGGTTTCATTATTTTCTACTCAAATCTTTGAACTAGTTTGTGTTTGTTAGAGTATACAGTATGAAATATGGCACCAAATGTATTATTTTAAATGCTTATCCAGTTGTTGGAAGCATTGTTTACTGAAAGGCCATCTCATCCCCAGAGAAGAGATACTACCTTAGTGATAGTAAAATGCCACCCTAATATTATTCTAAGTTTCCTTATGTATTTGGGGTTATTTCAGGAGTTCCTCTTCTGTTCTTTGGTCTCTCTATCCATGTTTTAATTATATGAGACATTATAATTATAGAGAGACCTTATAATGCTATGTACCCGAGCACCTCTTCCCCATTACTCATCTTTCATTATAGTTTCCTAGCCATTTTGCATACTTTAAAAAAATCTATAAACTAAAACTAAAAATCTATAAACTAAAGGATCAAACTAAAGGATCAAAAAATTTGCTTAGCTTGAAACAAACTCATTTAGATTTTTGAGAAGATTGTACGTAGTTTTTAACTTGAGAAATTTGCTATTTATGATGCTAATATTGTATTCTAGAACAAAGGATGCTTTTTAAAAATACATAAAAGTGTACTTGTTTTTTTCAGCAGAGTTTTAAAGTTTTCCTCATTTTTAAGGAATATAGCTTTATAGTATTTTATTTTTGTACTGTTGCTATGATAATTGAACTTTTTTCTTCCATGATACCTTCCAACTGGTTATTATAGGTATATGCAAAAGCTATTGATTTGCATGTTAATTTTATATCCTGCTCTTCTAGTGAATTCTTTCATTGTTTCGGTTGGTTCTATCAGTGATCATCTTGAGTTCTCCAGGTATAAATAGCGTCCTGGGCAAATAAAGATAATTTTCCTTTTTCTGCTCTCATTTCTGGGGTGTAATTATTCTCTCTTTCTGATTGCATTGGTTAATACTTTCAATGTATTGGTTAATACATGTGATGGGAAGAGTGGTGGCTACAGCAGGCTTGCCTGCCTTGCTTTTGACTGTAGCACAAATATCTGCCATGTTCCCAGATTTTAAAATTTAAGAGCTTTAGACTAAAGTGTAAATAGTCTATATTTCTTCTTTTCACTCATAAATTTCATCATCTAAAACATTGGATTTTTCTTTTATTTAGCTTCCAGAAAAGCGTCCTACATTTCAGCAACTCCTATCTTCCATTGAACCGCTTCGGGAAAAAGACAAGCCCTGAAGGAGAAATTAAGTGTTCTGCTGAGAATGAGTATAGCGATTGGCCAACATTTTCATTCTTTTTAAGGAAAGTAGCCAGGTACAATGTAAGTTAGCTCACTCTTAATAGTGTTTTGTGTGTTGTTTGTTATATAGAAATGAACAAAGTAGAAAACACAAATTTCAATGAAATTTAGGTCAAATGTGTAATTTTATTTATGCTGCTCTTAATATAGCACTTCCCAGCCTATAAGGAGTATGTTTTCATATTGCAATATAGAGAGGGTTTGTATTATGTGTAAGGTTTGAGCAGCATTAAAAATTACTTGTTGGATACTGTTTCTTTTTTTTCCTCATCTCACTATCCTGATAATTAAATATACTATCAAAAACAGAAATGTGGACTTTTGCCTTCATGTTTCAGTGGTATCAAGCTTTCAACTGCATGCAAATCAAATGGAGAGTTTATTAAAACACAGACTCCCGGAACACCCCCGCCCCCGCTTCTGCTAGAGCAGATCTGAGTGTGGACTGTGAGTTTGTGTTTTTAACAAGCTCCCAGATGTTGCTGATGGAGTCATACTGAACTGTCCTAGGACACCTCATTATGTGTTACCCAGTCCATAATTCAATCCAAATGGCACAAGTTCCATCTGATATTCCCATCAGAACAATGAGTCTTTATGTCAGTATGCATACAGATATAATATTAAAGTTAAATGACATTATTACACAATGTAGTGAGTATGTCTCACATAAATAGTATGCAATTTAAAAACTATTAAACAAATGGGGGATGCAAGACATCAAATTTAGCTCATTTATTTAAATTTTCTTCTTGGAAAATGTAAAAGTTTATGCAGAGTTTGAGTCAGCAATTTCATGAATCTATTAGCTTCTCCACTAGATTTCTGGCAACCTTGATTTAGTACAGCAGGATGGTTTTAAGTTATTTAATCAATTCCTCAGATGTGTCTTTTGCAGTACATGCTTGAGACTCTGAAATAGTCCCTTTTTGTGGAAGACAAAGTACTCTGGCCTCTAGCTGAACACAAGCACTTTAAGGGGAACATGACAGTAAAATAAAACTATTTGTAATGACAAAGACATAACATAGCCATGGTTAAGGTCTTATATTTCGTCAAACCCATGAATTTAAATAATTAACATGTGTTAGTGATTATAATAACAAAAGATCTGGTGCGCTCGTTGCAAAAGGATGCTAACGTGGAATTTTGATGCCTTTTCCCTTAGCATTCACCTTAACCATTATCAGTCATATCTCAGTGTAACCATGGCCTTAGTTCTAGGATTGAAGACTGTCATTTCACATTTTTTGAGTTTGGGGCTCTGGGGTTTCAGACTCATGTGACAGTGCAGTCTCTGTTTCAGGCTTCTATCTTAAAGATACAGAAGTACTACTTTAGTTTCTCATGGCTGTTCTAAAAGGTATTTTACCTTTAAACTTTTCCTCAGAATGCCCTCCTTTATGGCCTGCTGCTGACCTATAGGTTTTATCTCAGAATATTTCATTGTCTCTCTTATAATGTCAAGAAGGGAGAGGGAAAGTTTATGTGGAGGGCACTATTATAGTAACACAGCACCCCAATTAAGCCTTACTGCTATTTTTCAGATAAAAATTAATAGTACCCCCTTAAGAGACAGCCAGACCCTTTTTCATCCCACTCATTCTCTCTCCCATTGGCTAGCTCAAATGTTCCCTCTTGCTTATTTGTTTCCTGACACTTAGTGATTCTTGCGTTTTAAAGAGAATTAACACCTGATAATAGTCTTCTGCTTTTAAAAGAGGTACATGACCTTCCGTGTACAATGAAATGTAACTTTGAAAATAACCACTAGGACATCTATACATTCATCTATTGATTTGTTTAGCATTCTCTGGGTGCCAGGTTCTTTCCTCCCCAAGGGAAAAGGAAATACTCCTCACTGGGCCCACCGTTGGGCGGGGCATCAAGCATCCTACTCACGCAGGTGTTGTACAACACCAACCTGTTCCACACATTGCTGACCTTTCTTTCTGATCTCCCTCTTCAAGATTTCTTCCTTTCTCCCTCTTACTTTTGTAGATTTGATCTTTGAAAAATGTCTGCTTTATAACAAAAGTAATACATGCTTATTGCAAAAATTCAAACAATACAGGATTATTTGCTATGAAAAGAAGCCAAAGCCTTGCTTAGAAGCTCCAACAATTAAATCAAGCAAGAATTTAAGATGCTATGAGAGGTTTATCAGAAGATAGGTCCATTGATGCCGGGAGGAGCCCAATGAGGAAGAATGTTCATACTATTTTAAAATATTCATAATGATTTTTAAAATGTGTTTCAACTGTGCTTTATGGTGATATGCGTATTTATTGTTGTAATTTTAAACCAAGAGTCTGCTTATACTTTCTAAGGAGTGAAGAGAGATGCAGATTTGTGATTTTAAAACTTTCCCAAGGACAAGTCAGAGAGCAGATTCAGATAAAGCATTTACTATGTGAAATCCAAAAGTCAAACAGGAAAAAGTCAAACACAAAGTCAAGCAAAATTCATATCACATTAACTTGAGTTAATTAAAAAGAAAGGTTGCAATACAATAGACATAGAAAAAGTGGTTTCTCAGTTTTTATTGTGACTTGGGAGTGGGTGTATAAGGAAGAGATTGGTTCAAAGACCCCATCTTTACCTAAGTGGGGAAGGGATGGCTCTCAGATGAAGAAGAATAATTCATTGAGGAACATCATGGATGAAGAAGGCAGCACCTGCCCTTTCTAGCCTGATTACTTCCCATGTAGACCAGACCCCATAAAAGATAGTTAAATTCTCAGAAAGGAAACACTCAGAGAATAGCTTCAGATTCCATAAATAAATGTTCCTCAGGGCTCTGAGCGCCACATGGACCCATTTCTAAGTTTTCACATTTCTGGTTTCATTTCATCTCTGCTTCCTTATAGCCCAGGGCTCAGCAAAATTAGCCTGTGAAAGACGTTTTGTAGGCCACACTATCGCTCTATCAACCACTCAGCTGTACTTTGTAGCAAGAAAGCAGCCCTAGCCAGTATGAAAATGAATGGCTATGGTTGGATTCCAATAAAACTTTACGTATAGGCCCTGAAATTTGAATTTCATATCATTTTTATATGTCCTACAATATCATTCTATTTTCTTCCCCAACCATTGGAAATTACAAAAATCAGTGTAAATTCACAGGTCTACAAAAACAGGTGATGAGCAGGATTTGGCCCATGGGCCATAGTTTGCCAGCTCTCACCTTGGCCTGGGTACAGGACCGTCTTTGTAGAGTTGCCATCCTCTCAGAGAATGCTGTTGCACTAGTGTAGGACCACAAGCCCTACCTGGTAGGCAAAATGAGGACTGCACTGGTTAGAAAAACCCACAAGATTAAGTCAGGGAAATGAGCAGGTTTTCCTAGTTTCTGTGTTACAACTGGGCACTGTTGTCGATGAAACGGCTATGCAAATAAGGAGAAAATGCTATTGCATGCTCCTCCAAGCTATGGGCCCAGTGAATAGCAAGATGGTGAGACAGGCTGTACTAAGGAAACTTGAGTGGAGGGGCATGGGTCCCAGGCAAAGAAAAAGAAGTCTATCATTGCTACAATCACACAATTAAAAGAGCCTCAAATGACCCAGTCCCATTTGATTATCTTGAGGCTATTTTATAGGGGATTCTGAAAGTCATTCTCCCCTGACCTGGCTAACTGATTCACTATTACCATTATCACATTGAATTTAAGTGCAAAGTCACTCTAGCATTATTCTGGCCATAACATAGTATGATTTAATGGGTAAAGTTTGGACATGTTAATCTACTTAGTCTAGTTTTAATAAGTCCCCAAGTATGTGGTAGATGCTGTACTCAGAACTGGGCTAAGCACTCTGAAAAATATAAAAGCAGTACTGAGGTACTAGGTTTGGCTCCTAATTTGGCAGTGTATACACTCTGAACACAATTCTTTTTTAACTGGCTTTACAATTTCTTGGTCTAATATAGAAATTTGGGAATTTAGAATTCATCCTAAGTCATCTGGAGGTCAAAGGTTGCAGACAGTCAGGTGACAGTGTTGCCCATGGAAGTGAAGACAGAATAGACAGAAGCCCCAGTACATACATATGCAGAATACCATAGGGGTGTCTACATCTAATAAGTGTTTATTGAGCAAATGCTTTGTGCTCAGCACTAATCAGACATCGTGGCTAAATATAAAAATTTAAGAGATTGGGTGCTCACATCAGAGGTGGTTGGAATTTCCAATCACTCTACAGTTAAAGAAAAATGAAAGCAAGTTTCTCTCAGGCATATTCTGGGGTTTTATGGAGGTCTTGTGCTAGTGTTGTGTTCTCACAGACATGTTGGCCAAGAAACTTGAAAGTGAAAAGACAGCATCCCCTATCTGTGTTCCAGATTCTCCTTTCTTCCTTCTCTAGCCCTGCCACCTTGAAGAAGCATGGTCCATTGAAATATCACTGTGGGCACATTACTGTAGAGCTTGAATTAAGTTTATGTAAATAAAGCATGTCATCCTTCATCCTTCTCACTTGGATTAAATAAAAGTGAACAGTGGGTCCCATCTCAATCCCTGCAGCCCCACCAGTTTACCAGCATGGATTTTACAAAGGTCCAGCGCTTGCTCCCATGACATAGTGACATATCCTTTTTGCAATCCAACTCTAGTTACTCAACAGACATTTGCATTTCCACTACCCCTGGACAGCCTGGGAAGCCAAAGACATACTTCCTCTCTTTTATTCTAATATAAACATGAGGAAACAGAAGAGAAGTCAAGTTCTGAGGCAGAAATAAATACTGAAAGCAATATCAATAAAGATGCCCACTCCTCAGTCATAGCGTCTTTGGCCAACTTCTCCTGAACACAGCCATAGTTTTGATATTTAATGACATCTTTATAATTGTATATTTTCTATACCATGAAACTAACATTTGTTTATAATAAAATCACCTTAGGAGGAAAAAGACAGCTTTTTCTAAAATGAAGTCTGAATATCCTCACTGTTTTGGAATCCTGTATTACTTTCTCCTTTATCAATGTCCACAGAAGAGTAAGGGTTCTCTTCTCTTTTTGTTTGACTTTTCCTGTTAAATAAAACAAAGTCACCTTAATACAGTGATGTTGGAAGGGTACCTTTCACTGACCAGACTGATAAAGATCAGAAAATTTGATGATACGGGGTTTGGATTGGGGGAAAAGCTTTCATAAATTGGTGAGATTGGTATCCACTGACTCACCCTCTATTGATGACAATATTTATCAAAATTAGAAGGGCACACTGCCTTTGAAACTGCTTTCCTGCTTCTACAATTTACCTTGTAGCTATATCAGCAAACACAAGGAACTACCTTTCTTAAGCCATTGCACCATTTTTATGGACACAAATATTTGGAAACAACATAAAAGCCCAGCAATAGAGGACTGGTTAACAAACTTACAGTCTTTCTATAAAATGGGAAATCACATTTGCAGAAAAAAAGGGAAACTCTTTGTACAACTAATATGGAAAGATCTCTAAAATATATTAAGTGGGAAATAAAAATATGCAGAACACTGTACATAGTTTGCATGTACTACAAAAGGACATATAACTATATACAGTGGTGCCTTGGTTTACAAATGGTTTTGATTGCAAACAAAGTGGTTAGCAAACAGAAGCATTTGGCAAAATTTTGTTTTTGTTTGTGAACTCTGCATTGGGTGAGGAACATCACCACAGCCATCTTTCCCACATGAACATGAAGGGGACCATCTTTCCCAGAATCACGGGATGAATTAAGTTCATGAACCAAGGTGCCATTGTATCTCTAAGAAATGGATAATTTTGGTTGGCTTTAGTAAGCCAACTTGTAGGCAAAGAATAACACAGACTCTTTATGTGTCCTTTTGCATTTTACTAAAATTTAACTGTATGACTACATTACCTAGTCCATGTCTAATTTTTTAGGTGCTATAAAATGTTATTAAACTATTTCATAAGCTTAACAAAGGTCAGTTCTTTCTCAAAGTGAGAAAATAATCTAGTGGCAAAGCAAAACTAGAAATGAGATTTCAGTGAACTTCGATCCTTAACTCAACAACAAACGAGATTGCCCGACCATGAACTAAGATGACATGGAGTTTGAACTCCCCAAGGCGGGACAAAGGTGACTAAAGAGCAGCACTTGGAAGCAAATATCAGAGCTCATTCTTGAATGACTTGATAGTTTGAGCCCATCACCCAGTCTCTAGTGTCACTTCTAGACTAAGAGACACTCAGCATCGAGGACAATTCTCCAAGCCCACCCACCCGTGCTGAGCTTGTAGTGCCTCTCTGCAGCAGAGAAATGACACCATGGCTGGGATGAAGCTTACTAGAGCACTAATGAACCCCAGGCTAGATACGTACTCTGTGGGATTGCTAGGCAGGTAAAGTGCTGAAACCATCTGGTAAGTTTCTAGGGAATGCATCGGAATATTTTCAGGTGAAAACTTGTCCAACTAATTGGCCTATATAACCTGCTATTTGTGGCACATTTACCAATTGTACCCCCTAAATCTTTCTGTTTTAAGATAGGTTAAGTCTAGAAAAGAACACTTACTTCCTTCGATCTCTGATCCCAGTGATGACTAGGATGACAATGCCAAGCACGACCAATCCCATCACAACTCCAAAAACAATCAGCCATATGGTGACAGGTGGCTCATAAGGAGGGCTAAGTGTTGGATAAATCCCCAGAAACTCCAGACTGTTATCATCCAGGCGGAAAACATCATTGATACGACTCCGGGACAACCTATTCTCAAAAGCAGAATACAGTAAGCAGGACATTTAGGCAAAATAAAATTGTGTACAGTTATTTACTTCTTAAATCTTTGCAGAAAGATTTGATAAGGCTTATCATAAGAATATATCCCTTAACATAACAATGAAATCGAAGTAGGTAATCACATCTAAATGAAGATAAGAATTGTTGACAATTACGTACCTTTCAGACCTTGTAAGAGAAATGAAGTTTGTCAATAGCTTGATTGGAAAATTGTATTACAAAGGTGCAAATGTGCACATGGTTGATGTTTGGGCGTTTGTGACTTACTGCTTGTTAAAGGCAAAGTTAGCATATTTGGCAATTTCCCATTTGTCAGTGCATCTACAACCACTTTATACAAAATAATGGAAGAGGACAATTGGATATCCCTCTTCTACAAATGATTCACAATCTATACCCAAGTACCGGTAAGAGAATTTTCCAAATAAAATGGTTGGTACTTGGCAGCACTGGGAGTTACACAGGAAAGGAATCTTTGCCATTTCTCTGGCATTGGTATGGGAAATGGTTACATTTCATGGAAAAAAAAAAGGGTGAGGATTATTTTAAAACAAAAACAGTGAAATGGAGGATATTCTGAATTGAAGATCCAAGTGTCTAGAATCACATCCTGCTACCCTTGGGAACAGCCCAGGTCCGGAGGTCAGAGTCCACCGGAGAGGGCAGGAAGTCAAAGTGGAATGAAACATGTAACTCCTGCCAACCTCAGGGGATCATTTCTCAAGTCATACTGGGAAAAAAGTTTGAGATCCCCTTGTAGCTTGCAGCTGCCTATCCAGGAAGGGAAGGTTTTTTTATGATGATCTCAGCCAGTATTTTTTTCCTAAGACAAATACAAGTCTTTCGGAAGTAGTGAGCGGATCTGTGAGTGTGGTTGGGTCATATAGCCCAAGCAAGCCAGGTTGTCTAGGCACACCCTGCCCAGCTGGTCTTAGATCTGCTTTCAAAGGTAACCAGGACTCACTGATGGAGCGCAAAAGGCTCATCTAGTGAGCTGCCCAGTAGCAGTGGGTATACTAAGCCTATTTTTTAATGACAAGGGCACCAACTACAAAGTCAATCCACTCTCCCTTCCTGTTGTCTTGTAGGAAGAAGCCAGAGAAGTTAGACAAATTATTTCTTCTAAGAAACTCACTGCCCATAGTAAGACTTTTGCCTAATGTGGAGGACAGCCAACGTCTAAGGAATCCCGTTGCCTACCCAGTTTCAGGCTTTGGACAATTACATGAACCCTACATCACTGTCCCTATAGCAAATGATAGTAACACCTGCCATGTCTCCTCTACGCTTAGCATTTGTCATGCGTGCTAGTCTGGCTGTCTTTAGCCAGCACCTACTTCTTGCCTGAGAGCATTGTCAAACCACAAAATATGCCCTGCCTGCAGGCCAGAAATGCTGGGGAATTAATGTCACCTGAAAGCAGTTTCCAGCCAGCCTGATTAGAGGGGATGAATAAATACCCCATCTTTCTCAGCCTTCTATGGAACAACTCGGGTGCACATTCTACAGTCCCCAGGGTTGCCTGACAGGATTGAGCTCTAGTTACCAACAGTGGTAAATTGCTTGATACGGTATAATCGATTGTTTTCCTTCCCTTCTCATTTTCCTACCAGTGCCTCCCAAATAAACTACTTATACTTAAGTTCTTGTCTGAAGGCCTGCAACTGGAGGAACCTAAAGGAAGACAATTCTGTTGCTATTGGATTCTTCTGGAATTAAAAGCCAAATTTGGGGCTGGGGATTTAGCTCAGTGGCACAGCGCCTGCCTGGCAAGCGCGAGGTCATGAGTTCGATTCCTGGTACCGGAAAAAAAAACAAAAACAAAAACAGAAAGCCAAATTTGTGGGACAAAGTAAAACATGCAAATGACTCAGAACAATGCCTATCACACAGAAATGCACACTAAATATTAGCTATCGTTGTTTCATTGGTTAAACCCTTCACCCTCATACAATTTGAAAGTAAAATATCACCTGATAGCATCTTCAACTTCACTTTTAGGAATGATGTCAGATATATTATTAGGTGCGGTGACAAAGAAGGTGAAGGAGATTCTGGGTGTCTCATCGCTCACCCATACATCCTCCTCCCTGTGGAGAAACAGAAGGAACATCATTCCTTGTGGCACCTAGGACACAATAAGGAAAGTGAAGCCTTCCCCTGCTGGCGAAAAGGAGATTAGGAGAGGCTCACAGGATAGATACAGGGCAGGGAAAAAAAATGGGGGGATACAATTTTCAAAAAAAGTTAACACTGCCTAAAGCACATGAAATCAACTACATAAAAGTTTGATATTGTTTTAGCCCTATCTGTTCAGTTATGATGTAAAAGCCACATCTTTTCAATGACGAAAAATATTCCCAGCTGAAAGGATCAAGAGAATCAGCAAGGAATCATTGGTGAGCTAGGATTGCGATAAGCTTTGTTAAGGCTTTGATATAAAATGTCCTCCAAAAGTCACATGTGTTCAGAGTTGGCACTTCTGGAAAGTGATTAGATCATGCGAGTGCTGACCTCATTACTGATGAGGTCAGAGCTGAATGGGCTCTTAGGAGGTAAGGCCCAGTTGGAGGAAATAAATCACTGAGGGCACGCCTTTGAAGGGTATATCTGGCCCCTGGATCTTCTCCCTGGCTGCCATGAGGTGAGCAGCTTTCCTCCACCAGGCCCTTCTGCCATGATGTGTCTGTCTTGAAGTCAATCAACCATGGACTGAAACTCTGAAACTATGGGCCAAAATGAAGCTTTTCTCCTTTGCACTGGATGTGTCAGGCATTTTACTCCAGCAATGGGAAGGTGACCAATACAAATATGGTGGGCAGAATCGCCCAGTACCACAGACAGGGGTGGTATTTTTACATTCCCTAACAGGCCCCAACCAGCAAAAAATGTTGTGTTTAATCCATGGCTGAAGTTTTTGGGTATTTTTTTAGGTAAGTAGCTGTTAATATACAATGTGACAAGATTGTGCTCTCATAACTGTCAGAGTGATCTTGCTTCATGTATCTACTCAAATATTAGTGAGATTCTTTCTGACCACTTTGGTTAAAACTTAACATCACACACACACACACACACACACACACACACACACCAGCATTCCCTAGTTCCTTTCCCATTAGAAGTTATTACCATGCAATTCCACTGTATTTCATTTATATATTACACACACACCCCAGAATATAAGTTCAGTGAAGGCAGAAATTTCTGTTTCCTTGTCTTGCAGTGCTCAGTGTGGGCAAGGGCATTTAAAGAAGAGCGAGCTGATAATTAGAACAGAGTCCTTGCCATCCACAAGACAAATAAACCACATCCATCCCTAAGTGGAGTGACCCAAATTCCAGGATGCCAACAAAGTTCAGAAGTTATTAGGAGGCTTTTCCTAATTTCACTTGAGGAAAGCTTAAGCAGAATATTTCCTCAGACTCTAAAGGGAAGGAATTGCTGGTTGGAGATCTTGAAAACCTAAGAATGAACTCACCTGAAAGGAACCGTCTGGTTTTTTACTTTTAAAAAATACTCTCTCATGGCATATGCAACGGATGACCGGAACAAGTACATTTCATTAGCATTCCATTCGTACTGCAAGTTCAGAAGAAAAACACTGTTCAGTAGGGACCATAAGGTATATTTCACACCTGGTATTCCTCAAACATCATTGTTACTATTCCATTGGGCTCAATAGTCCTTTCACTTTAATTTTACCTAAATTGGCATAAACAGCCTGAGCAAGGTTTATAGATGGAGTCAGCCCAACGTTGGTTTTGCTTAAAATGTCTATACTGTGTGGACAAAGTTTTATGTTAACAGGAAGTTCTCAGATACATATATAAGTACAAAAAAGAAATTTGAGATTTAAAGAAAAAATAACATGTTCTAAACAACATGGTGACCCATTCTTGTTCTCTAGTTCTAAACAAATGCCTTGCTTCTTCGCACAGCTTTTGAAAAACTTGCTAAGAGTGGGAAAGCAGTCGTTCTTTCCTCCAGCAGCTGGCAGTAGAGATCAATGAATGGCACATGATTCATTTCTCCCTTCCCTTTTAGGACAAAGAAAAAAATGTATAATAGGATTTCACAAAAGATTTGTTACATTCACCTCAGCCTGGTTTTATTCAGCTTTGGGGAGGTGAAAGTTACCTGATAGTAACAAAAATACCATTAGTATTGTGATTAATGATATTTTTATACTATTTTCAGGTTTTAAAACTGTTTAAAGGCTAAGTTCTCAAAATAAGGCCATATATCTAGTTGACATTCACCACGAAATAGCTTGAACCTGCAGCTATTCTGGCCCCAAAGAGTATATGTGCTAAAAGTCCAGTTTTTGGTCTTATCAAAGCAGAGTGTTGCTCAGTAAATCGGCCTTACACTGTTCCAACATCAAGGTCTCCGAAGACTATTTACCAATCCCTCACTGCATGAAAAGAGAACCTGAGCACACATGTTAAGGGAGAAAAAGACAACTGGGAAGGATCTTGATTTGTAACTGTCTTAAGTTTTCATTTTCTTTTTGGTATCAGGACTCAAATTCAGGACCTTGCACTTGCCCGGCAGGGGCTGAGCCACTGAGCCATGTCCCCGGCCCTAAGTTTTCATTTCCCTACTCCTGTGCAATTTATTTTGATATCTTGCTTATCTATAAAAATTATCCTGAAAGTGTGTTTGAGTCTTGAACATCTCAGGAAAAGTAAGGGGGTAGAACACAGTCTTCGGATCTATACAATGAGACAAGAGTTTTCTGTTGCACCTTGGACTATTTTATCTGCTAGTCCCAGGTTGACTTCTAGACCTGAAAAGCCTTGGTGTTGGTTACCAACCCCACTCAGGCCTCTTATCTCTGTCTGCCTGGGACGACTTGTCCTCTCCGCTTTCCGATCAAAGCTAGTACTGCACTTCCTCAGACTGGATCACCTGAGATAGGTGATCAAGAGCAAGCAGTTGCTGAGGAAACTAATTCACATGAAGGTGTAAATAATAAGACTCTCCTGTAAAACACTTTGTTACCCTAATATGCATCTGGAAGTCAGTGGTTCAAATGTAGCTGGTCTATGGACTACACTCTGAACAAAACCAAGGTATAGAAGATTTACTAAAATAAACAAAATGACCTGTAGTCATACTACTTCTAAAAACAAACAACCTCTCAAAATATCACATCCTTCTTCTTGACTACAAGTAACAGTGCTGAGTGAAGTGGAAGATTGGATATTTGACAGTTAAGGATTGGTACAGATGTGTTCACACTGATCTGCATAAGCCCTTCAATGTAATAAGTAAAAAATAGGCATTGCCTATCCAATAGTAAATGAACTAGTAAAACATCAAAGTGCTGAAGGCCAGAATCTAGGGTTTCGAGTCCTGAAGAGAAGAACCATGTGGCCTCTCTTCCTTTAGACAGATCACACTGGAATGGGCATATTGTGTGCTATTTAAGGGAGAAGAGTACACTAGGAAATAACAGGTGCTCCATCCAGGATACTCACTGCTTTATCTCCAAGAGCTGATTTTAGGCTTATCCTCACTTTGATGCTTTCTCCAGAATCTGATTAAAGAGAAATCATGGACTGTTGGTTTAGGTGTCAGATGGACCATATGTGCTTATTTCCTTCCTCTCCTAAGGTCCCACTAAAGCGATAGTAAAGGAATTTTGTAAAGGTATAAACATACCTTTGGAAAACAGAAAATGATAGGAGAGGAGTAACTGCTTTTGAGGGAATAGGAAACCTTGGTCAGAAGCATTACGGACAGACCCAAAAAGAACCAGAGAATCCCAAAGAAGCTTAGCATTCAGGTAGTGCTAAGGGTAGGAAGCGGCTACTGGAGTGAAAATGTGGGGAAGGAACAGTAAGGTGTGGTGAAAGCCTCTCTGGGGAATAGTTGATCCTCCCACCTGATAGGCCCTTGCTCAATCATTGGGAGACTGTGTTCCAGCAAAACAACAGATCATCCAAGACAGAAGACCTAGAATCCAGCAAAGAGTGGATTCAGCCCAGGAGAAAGACAAAGACATAACCTGGGAGGAAAATCATGATCTAGATTGGGACAGGAGGGTGTAAAACTCCAAGAGGGAAGTTTCTAAGAAGAAAATGAGACTGAAAAGAATAGATACATTGGAATAATTGGAAAAAAAATAGATGCAATGTAGATAGCAAATTGGATATGACCAAAATATTACAGCAAGTAGAAACACAGGGGCAAAAAAGTTACAAGATATAAGATAGGATACAAGAGTACACTGCTTGATTCTGCAGGCAGAGTGATAGAAACATCGATAACTACTTTAAAAGTCATGATAAGGCTTTACTGCGAGAGAGAAGTGTAGGTCTAAAACCGACCAACAGCAAAATAACAACATAAACACAGTGTTTAGAAATATAAAAGTAACTTCCAAAAAGAAGAGATAATAGCCTTACATGTTTATTAAGTATTTGTGTTTGAAGAGCAAGATTCAAGTGTAGCGGACCAGAAACAGTAACACTCTTTTATTTTAAACATGAGACTAATAAAACACTCGAAAGAATGTGGAGTGAAGCCAGAAGCAGGTTCTACACAGAGAGAACACGTACTCATCTGGGTGACAGGCCCCCTAAACAGGGCCCAAAGGACACTAGAGAAAGAAGACAGAGAGTGATGCAAAATATGGGGACTCAGCGTACTCACATGGACTCCACTCAGTGCTCCACCCCACAGAAGCATTCTTGTTCTGGTCTTTCAGCCACGTAAACAAGGGCTCAAAGTAGTTAAGCAGCGGTCTTACATCCATATTCTTTGCTCCTACAACATTTTCCAACGCTAAGGTCCAAGGCTCTGATTTTCCAAGTCTCAGCATGTTGCTAGATGAAAAACAGAGAAAAGCAGGGCCCTTTGAAAGTCCAGACATATGTATATTTATATTTATGATCTGGGGTTTACTTTCCTTGATGTGGCTAAACTTGCTCCTGGCTGATACGAAAATGAGGCATATTAATGAATCCTTCAATCTCGTTTTCTACTTACTACAAGGAGAGCTGTTTAGTATGGCGTGGAGAGAGGAAGTGGCCCGCCCAGCCATCTCATGGTCTAGGTTTTTGTCTGATCACAAATTAAACATGTGCTTTGTGGAAGAGAAAATTTTGAGATTCCCCAAAAGAAATCAAATTCAAAACTAGGCATAGAAATAAATGATACTGGATACTAGGAAAAGATCAACATTTTGAGGTATTTCTTACAGCAACTTCTGTCCAGCTTCTGTGGAATTTGAGATATCACATTTGTGCAGGGGGCCCACATGTTTAGCTGCTTGACAAAGGGCTTCCTGAAACTGGAACTGGTAGATGGTCCTTGTGTAATACCTGTACAAAAGACAAAGAAACAAAAAAGCAGCCCCACATTTAGTTACTGTGGTAGAGTCGTAGATTGGGGCAAATATTTAAATTCTGGGGCTCAAGTAAACAAAGAAATACTAGTCAGATCTCTCTCCAGAAAGACCCAATCATGAGTTCTACAGGCACATCACAATCTACTTGCATTTTATGTACCAGCTGATAAACAAGGCAGTGTAATTACACTCTTAGATGTTAGCTCACGTTTGTATTGTTTTGTAGAGTTACAGCCCTTTCATTTAGATGATGCCAATCAGTCCCTATGGCAGGCTGGCAATATTATTTCCATTTCACAAATAGAGAAACTGAGGCCCAACAAATTTAAGATATCGGGCTAATAGGTGAAGAATGCATGTTTTTAGACTTTAAGTTAAAAATGTTCATCACATACATGGTGAAACTTGGCAGTAACAAGAAGACAAACAAAATACTTCTTGTTTCTCCTGCTGATACTATTGATTCCTGGATGATGGGGAAAGAGCTCACAGGTGCTTAACCCAACTGATTGGCGGGTTACATTATATTGAAATTGATCATCTACATTGAACTTGGGGTAGGATGTGGAGATACAAAAATTATAATTATCACTTCGGTGGGACTTATTTCTCTGTTATTAGCACAACTGTGCACAAACCCTACAAGCTGAACAGGGAGAAGACAATGGTCATTTACCGGATGAACGAGTAATCATTAGAAACATGGAAGAGAGATGCAGGGTCACAGTATGTCTCATCGTGAGGCACAGGTTCCACCACTCCAACTATCTCTCGTCTTTGGAAAGAAAAACAAAGAGTGTTAATTGTGGATCAACCATCATGAGGAGGTAAAGTTGGGTACAACTAATGCAATGTCATCAAGCAATATTAGAATTGGTTGTCCAATGAAATAAGAACAGTAAAATATCAGAAAGTACACCTTTTGCATGGTTTGTCTTATTGAGTTCAACCAAAATATACTATTGGAAAACATCTATATCTTTAAAACTTATTTAATAAAACTCATAAAGCCCTGATAATTCCCTCTCAGGAACCATACTTCATGTGCTCCTGGCAGATATGATATTGTAAAATGGAAATCTTACTTACTTTTCAGAGCTAGCTCAAATGTCCACCCTCCTGAAACATGCCCCTGATATCAACCACCTTCTATCATGATTAACCCCTCAACCTCCCTTAGCTTTTTCTAGCTGTGTCTCCACTACTTGCAGTTAGTCACACACAACTCTTTCTGGCCTTAGACCCTTGAGCTCCTAAAGCATGAGGTTGTGTCTTCCATCATGTTTAGTTTCAATGGTAAACATGCTGCTTAACCTTAAGGAGAGACTTCATTTCTATTTGTTGAATGACTAAAGGAAACATTCATGTATGACTGAGTTACTTTTAATGTCTGATTCATATACCTTGAAAATAAACTAAGAGAGATCAAAAACTTGGTCAGCCAGAAAAAAAAGTATGTATTTGACATTGTTTAAAAGATATACATTTCTCCTCTATCGTTGTGGGTTGGTGTAAACAACAGAAGCAATACTCAAACTCAAGGAAATGACACACTCCTCCGTCCTTCCTCCCAAGCAAGATTTATGTTCATACAGAAAAATCTTGGAGAAAGAATGACACTGATTTAAATGTATAGATATGGAATCAAATGTAACACATGAGATCATCACTTCAAAAAGGAAAAATAAGAAAAACAAAGACAAAAATTACAAGGCTCTGACGTACGTGGTGGAGAAAATATTCTCTCTCTCTCTCTCTCATCTCTCCTCATAATTATTTCTCCAAATCCCATTCATTTCACATCTGTATGCTCCTGACATTGTTCAGGACACCTGGGATACAGTGACGTGCAATGTAGTGCTGCAACTATTCAAGTGGGTCACCAGCAGTTGCCTAACAATGCTAGTTTCTGTCTAGCCTGAAAGTCTCTCTTCTCTTCCGTACACACCTGATTAATTCTCATACCTTTCTCAAGACTCACTTTGGAAGCCTCTTCATATGACCCCACAAACTGGGCTTTGGCTCTCCCCCTAGACCATCATTGGGCCCTGTAGCCTTCCTTCACATCACACATTGCAGTGCTTTTATCCTCCACATCCTGCCTTTTATTTGACTACAAGTTGGGGGGAGTTAAGGACCACACCTGAAATGATTAGTGTTGGATCCCCAGTTCATTGCCCAAACTGTGAGGTCATCGTTTTTACTTAGAAAAATACATAAAAGTGAGTAAATTGATCATCTCCTAAATAATATCATAGTTTAATGAGTGACTCAGCCCCTATGATAGAGTATCAAATAGTGTCACCTGACTCAAGATAAGGGGTAGGGCAAAGGAAATTTTATTTGTGGAGATGGCACCCAAATGGAAACTAAAAGAATTAAAAGGAGGCAGGCAAGTCTATGCGTGTGCGTGTGCGTGTGTGTGTGTGTGTGTGTGTGTGTGTGTGCGCGCGCGCGCACGCGCGTGCAGGCCAATCAAATGGTTTTAAATACATAGCAAATGAGAAGCTATTTTACTGATTGCACCTTCATTTCCCACCACTTACTTCATCTCCCACCACTTTTTCATCCACTGCTCTTTGGGGATTTCACCCCTGAAGACCATCCATCTCCACTTCTCTAACATATAAGTGAAGGGCAGAGTTCCAACAATCGTGAGTGCTTGTTTAAGTAGGAAGTTTATTTCTGTTTCTGAAAGAAAATGGGAAAGGACAAATATTAAGATGAAAATGACAGTAGATGTTTTATGTTAAAAAGGACTTTCATAATCTCAACATGTACTTACTGTACAGACGATAACATGAGAAATATTGACAATGGACATGTTAACATGTATATATTCATTTTGTTGGTAAGGGATTTGGAATAAGGTGAAGTCCTGGAACAGAACAGTCCTGCGAGTTAACCCTGATCCTATTTTTTGTTGGTTTCAATTGCCTTGGTTAAACATCCCTTATCGGAGTTAATTGGGACCATGTCATCTTCTTTCCAGGCACACTGTTTATTCTTGAAATCTCCACAAGGCCAGGGACTGTTAATGTGCCATTCAAAACTGTCTACCTAGTTCCAGTGTCTGTTCCATAATGCCTTCTGTGAGTCCTCGGTAAATAAGCAAATATTAAACAGATGTGGTGGAAAGCCAGTAAACCAAGGATGGGAGAAATAAAAAATATTGTGCTATTGCACAGTAGGTTGACTATAGATAGCAGTATGTACTGACATTTCAAAAAGCGAGAAGAGCACTAGAGAGGTCAGGGGTAAAGCTCTGGCCTAACATGCATGGAGTCCGGGGTTCTATTCTCAGCACTGAAAAACTAAAATGCTAGAAGAAAAGAATTTGAAAGGTTTCACTGCACAGAAATGATAAACATTTGAAGAGATATGGTTCCTCTGATTGAAACATTACACAATGCATACATGTATTGAAACACCATATGTGGCCCCATTAATGTGCACAATTTTGTATTTTTATGTGCCAGCTAAAAGTAAATTTAATTGAAATATAAATAAATAAAAGAGCCTCCCTGGAGGACACCGTCCAGTGGATAACAAAAGTGAGATGTACTTTCACTGTACTTTCATTCACTGTCTTCCTTATTGTGAATTTTAAATGCTTTCACAAGTCATGTAATTCTCTTTTATCCTTTATCAGAGATAAAAGGAAAAAAAGGTAGCAGATTTTTGTTCACCTCTAGTGTACAAAAACAGCTCACTGAAATGTCAACAGGAGAATGCTATCCACTCTGCACATCACTGAATCTCTAGTGTCTGTAGAAATATCTTGTCCATGGTATGTGCTCAATAATAATGTGGAGAAAAAAAAGCAGAAAAAGACGAAAGGAAAGAAGGGAGAGAAAGAGGAAGGAAGAAAAGAAAGAATTGATTTGTTTAACATCATTCATGAATCATGGGCAAGGAAAGGCGCAAGAGATTTTCAAACCAGTGGTTTAATTATATGTCAGATTATCTTAAGAAATACAGTGATTCCATCATCTTTGCCAGCTAACAAGGAATGTTAATAACGATAAAACAAGTAAGTGTTCATTAGCTTGAATGAATGATATATTAAATGTAGGAAGTAGGTGTGTTTGCTGCTAACTCTTTCCTTTGTTGCTTTCTTCCTGGAAAGACACCACTACTAATCTATAATCCACTGGGTCTGGGCTTACAACAACTATTCCAGACTTACTGATAGTTTTACCCTGGCCTACTCTCAGCTCATCATGAGATCACCAAGGGTCTGGAGCCGGAGATGGAGGCAAAAAGAATTGCCCATACAAGGATGAAGTTCATGACCTTGAACTCATTGACCAAATGCTCCAGCCAGTGGAACCGATGGTTAAATTGCAAATAGCGAAAATAAGGGGAGAGAAATACATGGAAGAGGAGACACCATTAGGCTCTAACTGTCCTTCTTTTACAAGGAAAAAATCAAAATCATGATTTCACTAAAAAATCAAAATCACATCTTCACTGAAGAATTTAAATCTCCTAAACATTTGTCTTGTTCATCAAATCCAGGCCATCCAAGGAGAAATGGGCTGCCTTGGGCAAAGAAGGTGAAGGACCGCAGGAATCTGAAGGGGTGCTACAGGGGAAGTGTGTGCCTCCACTAATTGAATGAAATGTCTCAGTCCCTTGCAATTTTGATATTTTTTCACCTATTCTTTAAGAACTCTCAAATTCTAAGCTGCACTTTGCTTTTCATGATGCTGTGGGAAAGGCTTTAGATTAAGGCTTTGATTCTGGACCTACTGCTGTGTATGTGTTTGCTATACGTAATAATTATATTCCTCTTGGGGAAGTGGTACATATACATGTCCCATTTTGATCAGTTTTGCTCCCCTCTCCCACCCTACCCTCCCTTATGTTGCTTTCTGATATTGAGCTACTTTCTCTTTTCTAAGTTTCCTTACTTCTAAAACGTTGTTTAGAATCTGTGCTAGCTCTAACGTTTGGGGAAGTTTTTCCTGAGAACCAAAAACATCTACTCAGAAGTCTGACACCAATTAGCTGGATGATCTTGGACAAGATATTTCAACTCTGTGGAACTGTTTTAGCATTTTCAAAAGAATCCAACAAGCTTCTGTTTGACATTTATTATGATCTCAAAACCATTCATTTGGTTCCCTCTCTTATGGCTTGTTCAAGAGTACAAAACCACAAATTGGCATGTTCAGGTATATACTTCCAAAGTGTTTTTTACCGGTAGTAATTCCTAGTTACTCATACATATCTTATATCTGATGTGGCAAAAAGTAAATATTTCCTACACCTGGTAATACATACTTTATCCCACACCATAGTAATAAATACCCAAAACAAGCCATGAAAAAATATATACCACTATCTTCCTGGAAATCAGGTGGCAGGAGACCAATGGACTTCAGATGCTTAGGTGTAGCTGCAGAAAGGGACATGATTTCCCCAACAGCTTCATGAAATCCTTCATTAGCTCCATTTCTTAGCAGGAAAGGTTGAATGGCATATGCCATGTCATACTGGATGTGTCCCATCTCATGGTGGGCTGTCAAGAAGTGGTCCATTGTCACCTTTGTGCACATCTTGATTCTGCACAAGAACGAGCAATACTACAATGAATCTCGTTGAATTGCATTTCATCATGATAATACAACTGTTTGAAGTTTTGGTAGCATGAATTCCCTTTCCAAGACTTACTCACCATCGACTCTTGAGTTCCTGCCTCTTCTGTGCTTACGTACTATTGCTCAATATAAAGTGCTGGGCAAGGCGGAGTCCTATTCTTTTGCTCATACTAATAGGAAAAGAAACAAGCAGAGTCCTCTGCTCTTCTCCCAGCCTGGTGCCCTCCCAGGTGCCTGTCCAAAACCTTCTTGTCTGTTAAGCCAAATTCCAGCGCCACCCACAAAGCCTTGCCTTAGCCTATCTCCTGTTCCAGGTATGGCCAATTTTCTCCCAGTATCCCATAAAGGATTCTGTATTTTGCTTATGACATGTACCCCTTTCTCCCTTTATCCCAGCTTTGCAATCACTTATGACATTTCACTCACAAGAAAGAAACACAGAGATTAGTATCTGAGTCACTCCATGTTCCATAATTCTCAGCACCAAACCTTTCATAATGGGGGCACTACCATCCCCATGATCATACAACTCTAATGGGCATACAATATTTCAAAATGAGGCAAATTGTCTAAAGGTTCGAGTTAGGGCCTGCCGGTAATCTATCCCCAGAAAACCCCACATGTTGGGGCTGGGGATTTAGCTCAGCGGCAAAAGCGCCTGCCTGGCAAGTGCAAGGTCATGAGTTCGGTTCCCGGTACCAGAGAAAAACCAAAAAAAAAAAAAAAAAAAGAAAACCCCACATGTTCTTTCATGGACTCCTAGCCTCAGTTCGAGTAGAGTTAATTCATCCTCTCTGTGCTCAGAGAAGCAGAGAAGGACTGCCTGGTTTCACTGTCTCCCATAATATCTGCACTTTAAGTATCAGCTCAGCTACCTGAAATCGTCCTTCCCCAGGTCCCAAGCTGTGGGGTGACACACCACTTTCCGGCCATCTCCTGGCTCAGTTAGCATGGAGTTTTGCCAGAATCCTTGAGTCATATGAGGAAGACCAACAGACACAAAGAACTTCTCAGCCTCCTTGAATATTCTCTCTGCATCCCAGGACTGGCAGGGGGGAAAGAACAGTATTTAATTATAGCATTAAAATAACAGCATTCTTTCTGTTGGAGCTACACATTGGCACAATCTTTCCAAACAGCGACCTGACAACATGTATGGACAGCTTTTTAAATGTTTGCACTCTTTGTTCCAGTAATCCTGTCTCTAGGGAACTAATCTAGGAAATTATCAGAAACTAGGTCAAAGAATTACACTGAGTCTGATTTTTAATAGAGAAAAACTGGAAAAAAAATACCAGAATGGTTAAATAAATAATGATCTCCTTGGAGAATGGACATTGTGCAGCTGTCCAGGTTATATTTAAATAACTTTCATTGGTATTATAAAATACAATGTAATAGTAAATGGAAAAGTAAAATATCTAAACCATTCACATGGCATTCATCTTAATGAGGAAATATGGTACGTGAAAATATTAACAGTGGACCGGGTGAAATTATGTATGATATTTTTTGTTTTCATTCTTTATATTCTCAGTGCAAACATAAAACACGGTGACCTTCTATTTGCTTATTTGACTTTTCATATCTATTAATAATTGTCTTATATAGTTTGGTGCTGCTGTATTTGGCGCATACATAGTGATACCTTCTATTTGCTAAATACCTTCAGTTCAAACCTACAGTCATTGCTGGAGCTCCCCCAAAGATCAAGGCCTTACATTAGGTGTGGTAGCAGACAGAAACAATAAGGTAGCCATGACAGCTTGGGTTTTGGGAATTAAAAAGGCCCAGATGTGACCTAAAAGACCACAGAACATTGGTCCTTGGCTTTATGATATGTATGGAATCTGAAATGTCAAACTATTTTAGCTATCAGTATCTGCCACCTAGCAAAGTCTTCTTGAAACTAACGTCGCAGTTGATGAACAAGCTTGCTTATGAAGTAAGGCTTATATAAAGCAAGCTAAGTTTGTGTAACTGGCAGGAAATTCATGAATCATTTTCAGTAACAAACAAACCTTGAACATCAGTCAATTTTAGTTTATCTCCTGTGTCAACCCTGGGAATAAAAACTAGAATATGAAACTTTGAGATTTTATTATTAACCTTTAAAAACTTAATGTCAGGCAATTGTATCAATGAGTATGACATTCTTTCTCTTAATTTATATTAGCCTTTAACTGATACATAAAACGTACACCTATTTCTGGGGGTGCATGTGATGTTTCAACAGAACATTATGTAATGTTCACATCAGGGTAAACATATCTAACCCCTCAAACTCTTATCATTCTGTTATGGTGAAAATATTCAAAGTCTTTTCATATAGCTTTTTGAAATGTACCATACATTATTATTATCTACAGGCTGTCAGGCAATAGCACACCAGAACTTCTTACTCCTACTAACTATAACTTAGTCCTCAACCCCCTCTCTCATACAGTCTCTAGCCTCTGATAACCACAATTTTAGTCTCGGTTCCTAAGAGATCAACTTTCTTAGCTTTCACGTATGAGTGAGAGCATGTGGTACTCGTCTTTCTGTCCCTGACTTATTTCTCTTAACATGATGATCTCCAGTTCTATGTGTGTTGTTGCAAATGCCAAAAGTACATTTCTCTTATGGATTAATAGTATTCCACTGTGCTTATGCACCATCAGTTGGTGGAAATTTAGCTTGTTTCCATTTTTTGGCTACTATGAATAGTGCTGCAATAAACAAGGAAATGCACATGTCTCTTCAACATACTTATTTCATTGCGTTGGAGTACATACCCAACAGTGAGACTGGTGGATCACATGATAGCTGTTTTTTCTAATTTTTAAGGGAGCATCATAATGTTTTCTGAAGTGACTACTAATTTTCATTCTCAGTAGCAGTGCGTAAGGGTTCCCTTTGCTCCACATACTCACCAGCACTTGGTATCTTTGGGGTCTTTGGGATTTTTTATACCAGCCACTCTTATTGAAGTCAGGCGATATCTCACTGTGCTGATGATTAGTGATGCTGAGCATTTTCCCATACTTTTGCCCACCTGTACGCCTTCTTTTAAGAAATGTCTTAATGATCTATTGCCCATTTTAATCAGATTTTTTTTGATGGGTTTTGTTTTGTTTTGCTTTGTATTTTTGCTTTTGAGTTGTTGGAGTTCCCTATATGTTCTGGATATTAACCCTTTGTCAGATGTATAGCTTCCAAACATTCTTTCATTCTGGGCTGCCTCTTCATTCGTTATTTCCTTTGCTGTACAAAAGCTTTTAAGTTTTACGTAATACTATTTGTCCGTTATTTTGCTTTTGTTGCCTGTGCTCTTGGGCCCTTGTCCAAACATCTTTGTTTATTCCAATGTCCTGAAGCGTTTTTCCTATGTTTTCTTGTAGTAATTTCAAAATTTTGGACCTCACAGTTAAGACTTTAATCTATTTTGAGTTAATTTTTAGAACTGGTGAGAGAGAGATCTAGTTTCATTCCTCCACTTGTGGATGTCTATTTTTCACGGAACCATTTATTGAAAAAACTGCCTTTTCCAGTGCATGTTTTTAGCACTTTTGTCAAAAATCAGTTGGCTGTAGAAGTGTGGATTTACTTCAAAGCTCTCTACTTTGTTTCGTGACTCTTTGTGTCTATTTTCATGCCAAAACTATGCTCTTTTGATGGCTATAGCTTTGCACAATGCTGCTAGAACAGCTGCAAGGGTTTAGAGCACCTTGCAGATTCAAGATTTTATACTGCTGTGGACTTTTCACAGGAGTACGTGTGAATGTGTTGACTGCATTGCTAGAGATTTAAAACTATTGACTAGAAAAGGTTCACCAATAGATAGATAATTACTATATGACCATCTCAAGAAATTTTATGAGGCAAATAAAATATGATTGTTAATTCTTCACAGAAATGTAAAATTTAAGTAAGTAAAGATGAATGCATAACTAAAATTTTAATATGATTTGATCAATGGAAAGGAACACATAGAATTTAAATAATTATATCAAAGTGGCAAGAAAGGTGATGTAAAAGATTCTTGTAATAGTTCTAACAATAATGATTTTTAATATGAAAAATACCTTCTAATGATATTCTTGGCTTTTCACTATTCATTTTTACTATTCAATGATTATTTAGCAATGATTAACTTTAGAAAGTGTACTGCAAACCAGTTGCTAACTGCACGTTTGCGTAAAGGAAAACTCAAAACCTCTCAATAGGATCAATACCATACTTGTTATTTAAGGTATATGAGGTCATTGACATTATATATTACTTCTCTAAAACAACTTAGATACATAAGAAATACATTTCAATTCTCCTGAATTTTTAATTTGCACAGTTTCACATACAAGAGATAAGAACAGAAGGATTGCATAAAAAAATGAGATTTAAAATTTAGATTGCTTTTAAGATCTCTTCTTCCTACCTGGTTCCCCATTGCATCAGTAACATCTATGTTTGGTTTCTGTTGAAAGGGAATTGTCAAGGCGTATAGATTTGTCCAAAATCTACCCCACATATCACCTATATTAAAAAAGAATACATTAATATGATGACAAAACAGCAAAAGTATAGACCTGACTTTATACAGTACATGAGACTGGACTGGTACACAAACCATACAGTATTTCTAAACAGTCTAGTTTCTGCGCTTCCCTTTTGCTAACTTTCCACCCTTTTTGCCTTCTTTTTTTTAAATTGCCAACATTTCCTTCTTCTATCTCCTCTAAAAGATTAAAATAGCAAGAGATTATCTGGTTAGACAAAGCTTATTAGGGAATAAACCTCATTTCTTCTACCTCAAATCACTTATTCAAGGGCACAATTTATCTACTATATGGAGCATCATAGGAACTATAAAGATTAATTCATATAAATCACCATTCATGGGACAAAATGCTACAAATTAAACTATTAGTGATGCCTCATATTGAATTCAAAAGAAATTACATAATGTCATAATTCAAAGATAGCTACTAAATAATGCCAGGCATAGTGGCGCACACCTACAATTTCAGCATTCTGGAAAGCAAAAGAGGATACCAAGTTCAAGCTCAGCCTGGACAACTTAGTGACTCAATGAGACCCTGTCCCAAAGTTCAAAAACTAAAAACATCTGGGGATATAGTTCAGTGAGAAGCCCTTTGGTTCAATTACCAGTACTGCAAAACAAATAGAAAAAGTTTCCACTAGTTAGTAATTAAGTTCACTTTGTTACTATGGTAATACCCTTATCCAAATGATTTTTCAAGCATCACCAACAATGTGAAGTTGTATTACAAGACCGGAGACCTAAAAAGGAAAGATGAATCTGGAAAAATTCAATATAATAGAGAGAGCAGAATCCTGGCACCAAAGAAATGGCACAACATAGCTACATGAAGTGTACTCCTGTGAATTAATTTTAAAAGATAAAATGTGAGGTCCTATACTTAAATTTTAAACAAAAACTCATCTACCATAGAAATATATATGTGACATCAGGCTGAAGCAAAGCGTACAGTAAAAGACCAAAAATGATCCAATAGAGAGAATGACATGGCATCTAAAACACAAATACGATCTTCAGCTAAATTGATAGAATCATAGGGTCTAGAACAAAGGCAGATATGGTACCACTTTTTTCCCCCTCTGTTGGTCAAACTTCATCTAGAGTAAGTATTCAGTTCTGAGCATGACAACTGAAGAAGGACTGGACAAAGTGTAGCTCATGCAAAAGAGAACTAAAAAAGTGAGATTTTGGGGAGTGTTTGAAACTGTGTGGGATATTTAACCTGAAAAAAATGCATATGCACTGATAACAATAATGGCACTAAAATATATTGAGTACATACCCCTGTGGCAAGTACTGTGCTTTGTCTTATAGCTTCCTTAGAATCAGTTCCATACAGCACTAGGTTAGTCTATCTTACAGGGAAGAAAGAACCCTATCACAACAGACATGATTGGGAAAAACCTAAATTACTAGATAATGCCTTCCAAGGAAATGTAGAACAGATTTCTATATTTCTTTAGAATTAAAAGTCATCATCATTCCTTTGTCCATATTCTCTTCTACTGATGGAGGTGGGGCTTGGCTATGAAGAATTACCTATCAGAAACCTTGTTTGACTCTAGAAGAGATACAATGTATGGCATGAACTTTTCAAACATTTCTATCATATTTGGCCTTGGCCTCGGCCTTGGCCTCGGCCTTGGCTGCTGGAGTGGGAGAGAGAAAGATGGCCTCTTCCTTCAGTTATTACTCATGTAATCCTAACCAAATACTTTTCAGCAAGACTTACTGGTGCAGTCTAGGTTGAGCACATGATGCTTTCATGCAGGCCAAACCTCAGCTCCAGAAAGACTTCCATTCACCCCCGAGCACCACCATCTTACCAAGTTTCTTTCCTTCGAGAATATGATGCTAAAATCCCAAATTCCACCTTAAGACATTAGTCAACCAATTTCAATGCTATGAACTATTTTACTCATTTCCACTCTCATTTTAACGTGGAATTCTTTCTCTAATTATCTTAAATAACCCCTTCGTCTTTTGTATTATAACCAACATAATACCTCTTTTTGTATAAAAATAGTAATTTAATAGAGAATGGTTGAAACTGCAGTCTCTGCTGAAGAAAGTGCATTCAAATTGTGATTTCTATAATGTTATTAAGTTCATTTAAAGAGTTTTCAAAAATTTCATGATTTGACCTCACTCCAAAAGAAAATTTTATTTATGGAACTAACTGAGATGACAAAGAACACAAAGGATTCCTGAGGTTTCTTACCAAGCAAATGAGCAGGGAGGCATCCAGTTGGACTGATACGGGAAGGGTAGGCCTCCATCAACTTTGCCCTCACATAGGCATGGAGTTGTTCATACAATGGTTTAATCTAAAAACATAGGAAGAAAGTTCAAGATTAAGAGGAGCCAACTCTAATTTCCAATCCTCAACACTAAATATAAAAATTCCTTCATATAAGAAGAATTCCCTTAAATTATTTGTTCTCCTCTCAAGTATTCTGGAGCATTTAAAAGCCATTCTTCTCCACAGATATGAATGATGACTAGCCCCACTATACAAAAAAACACAAACATCTGGAGGACTACAGGCCCCAAAAGAAAATCAGAGGCCAAAACAGTAATTTAAGATGCTACTTATTTCTTTTGTCTTTAAATTGAACTATAAATTGCAGACCATGACGTTCACTCACCTTTAAGGGTACAGTTTCATAAAATTTAATAAATTATAGATGCTGGGAAACTGTCATCATCATCCAGTTTTATTACATTTCCATCTCTGCAAAATTTCTATATACCTATCTTCAGCCAATGCCCCACTCCCTTCCAGCCCAGGTTATCACTGAATTGATTTCTGTCTGTATACTTTTGCCCATTGTAGACATTTCATATAAATGGAATTATATAATATGTGACCTTTTGTGTCTGCCTTCCTTTACTAAGAATGTTTTCTAGGATCATCCATATTGTAGCATGCATCAGTAGTCCATTCCATTTTATTACTGAGTAGTATTCCACTGTATGAATATCCCAGAGTCAGTTTACCCATTCATCAGTTGAAAGTTGTTCCAATGTAGTGCTATTATGAATAATGCTGCCATTCACATTTGTGTATACATCTTTCTTTGGGTATATGTTTTCATTTATCCCATGTACATAGCTAAGAGTTCAACAGTTGAGTCATATGGTTCAATTGTATATTTAACTTTTTAAGAAATTGTCAAACTCTTTGCCAAATTACTGCATCATTTCACTTTTTTCTCACTACAGGGGATCAAATCAAAGGGTGTTCTACCACTGAGCTGCATCCCCAGCCCTTTAGCTTTTTTTTTAATTTTATGAGAGGGTACGACCAAACTTGTGATCCATGTGCCTCAGCCTCCAAAGTACCTGGGATTACAGACATGTGACACCATACCAGGCACCATTTTACATTTTTGCTAGCAAAATGTATATGAAGGCTCCAGCATCTCCACATGCCCCAACACTTGGTATTGTCATTCTTTTTGTCATTGCAATTCTGGAGGCTGTATACCGGATTTTCATCAGTTTTAATTTGCATTCGCCTAATAACATCTTCCTTGTTTATTTGCCATTTGTAAAATTTTTTTTTTATTTTAAAAATAAAAGGAGGAAAACATTAACAGACAGACAACCTTTTACAAAATAGCAAAAGAACTGTACAGACAATACAGAGTTACAAACAAAGTGGTAGGAAATTAATAATACTTGTTGTATTGCATATTGACATCTTCAAAGTGGTTTCTCATGAAAACAGACAGAGACATGCACTATTGACCAATCAAGGACTCACTGACAGTTTCTTTCAGCAAAGAAATAGAAGACAGCAGAACAACTATGTTAACTATCCTGCATATACATACATACAAAATTTCTCCTTCTCTCCCTTCTCTTTTCCCCCATGTAAAATTTCTTTGATGGTATAATTAGTCAAACCTTTTGCCCATTTCCCTTTAGGGGAGTTGTTTTTATTCCATTTTTGATAGTTCTGCCCAACCATGGCCATGATGGAGCGGTCTCACATCCGAAGTTTGATGGCGCAGGGATAAAGAAGAGATAGAGAGGTCACGATGAGGGGAGAGGGACACACTGAGAAGTGTCTTTCAGATACCTCTACTCATGGGTCTCTCTCTTCCTTATAAAAACTTTTGTAATCAAAGGCTAAAGAAATAATAGTATCAATTGTCCTGAGGAAGGAAGCAAAGTCTATGGCCCTGCTAACAAAAGAAGACAGCGCCATCCCCAGGTTGCTTACAAAAACCATTCCTTCTTTTAACCTAAAATACCATTCCTTCCTGTAAGCTTTCCTCCTTATACCCTTTTGATTGGTAATTACTGGTCCGTGATTAAAAGGAGAAGAACACAACAACTCCGATTATGTGTAGGGGCTGCCCTATTTTCCTAAGAAATCTCTTCAAGCTCTAAAATTACACAGTTCTGTGACTGCTGACCAGCTCGTGTGTTAAGGACACCCCTGAATGACTTTGCCCATTGTCCCTCCTTCCTGCGCCCCTCCCTGCAGTCCTTGGGTTACCTCAGCAAAGGTACGCTCAACATCTTCAATCAACTGCTCTCGGCTATAGTCGTAGCCATCTGCTCCCTCTGCTTCGTAATCTGCTCTCCAGTAATCCCCATAGTCCTCATAATCTGTTTTTTAAAAAAGAGCAAGAGGAGAGCATAAGGAAGGGAAAGGAGACGCAATAGTATAGTTTATGATCTTGCTGGAAGGTTAAAAGAAATCTAACGGTTTGTCACATTTTTTGTTGCTTTTACAAACATAGACTCAAAGAGATCCAAATGAATAATAATATTAGATAATTCTGTTCAGTACTTGTTCTGTACTAGGAAATTAACTATATTATCTCATTTTATATGCACAAAACTGTACAAAATTGTCATCATTATAACTTCCACTGTGCATTTTAACAGCTTGTACTTATTTTTAAAATAAATCTTATTTTTGTATATTAAAGGTAAATGCCATGATGTTATGGACTACATATAATATAGTAAAAAGTCTATTATAATGAAACAAATTAATACATCTATCATCTCACATAGTTACACACACACCCCAGCAAAAACAGCTATAATTTATTTGTTTAGCAAAATCTTGATTACAGTAAGCTATTATGAACTACTGCTATCATGCTTTACATGAGATCTTCAGATTTGTTCATCTCACGTATCTGATACTTTGTATACTTTGACCTGTATTTCCCCATTTCCTCCCACTCCACCCTCATAAGCACAATTTTATCTCTTTTTCTGTATGTTTGACCCTTTTTTGGTAGATTCCACATATAAGTGAAATCATGCAGCATTTTTCTTTCTTTGTTAAGCTTTTTTAACTTAGCAAAATGTCCTCCAGTTCTGTCCATATTGTGGCAAATGGCAGGAATCTCCTCTTTTTATGACTGGAATATATATATATATATATATATATATATATATATATATATATACATACACACAGGGTATGAGCTAATAAAGTTGGTAAGTGCATTCATCCCATGGTCTCTCTATCCATTCATCCCTTGACGGACACAGAGGTTGTTTCCATACCTTAGTTATTGTATGTAATGTTACAATGAGCATCAACGCATGGATATCTTTTTGAGGTAAAGATTTCATTCCTTTTGAGTATATACCCAGAAGACAGTTTCTGGGCCGTATGGTAGATCTGTTTTTAATTTCTTTAGAAACTTCCACACTGTTTTCCCTAATGGTTGCACCCATCTACATTCCTACCAACAGCTTATGCGTAGAGCAGTGAAACCACTTGTCCAGGGTCATACAACTGGTAAGGAGCGAAGTCACACACTTAGTTTCTTAACCCTGGGTCTCTACTCATACCATAGATCAGTTCACATCATTAGCTTTAAAACATGCAATTGAGTCTCTACGGATTTTAGTTCTCATTTTATTCAGGACCTTGTGTTTTGATATGACCCAATTTATCTTAGACATTGTTACGATGGGCCCATGTTCATGTGTAAGTTGTGTGTATACACAGCACATCTGTGTGTGCTTCATTAATATCTCGCCATCAAGAAACACAAGCTGTGTTAGGGTATGAGCTAATAAAGTTGGTAAATGCATTTTAATAATTTCATTTTTGTACCACATTGCCAGTGGATAGTCAGGAAGATGAAGAAATAAATGAGTGTTTGAATGGAAAGATATGTCTGGTGTTTTTTTTAATTAATGAGAAACTACTATCTGTAGCTTGCCTGCAGCTTGAAAAGGTAACTTTAAACAGCAGCAGGAGAAATTAAAAACAGCAAATGAAAAAAAACTTCTTTCCTTACTCAGCCCCAGGGGGCAGTGACTCACCAAAGCACGAAGTATTCATAATATCATGACTTCATCTCATTATTAAGAAGAGCAAGCTAAGAGATGTGGAAATTCCTTCCTATGTTAAGATTTTTAGGACTATCAGACTGACTTAAATTTAAAACTGCAGATAATAAAGGCTTTCCAGCTTAAACTCATATGATTTTTTCTTTCGGAGACATCACCCTGAGGTAAACACACAAGTGACCTCTGCGATTGCGCTGTGGCCAGGTGAGGGTTCAGGTGAGAGATAGTGTCTCTGTCCCTCATCCTAAGAAATAGGTTCCCCTCTCAATCTCCAGATTCCCTCAGGAAGCTTGGGAACCCAAGACCTCCCTGGACCACTCATAGTTTATAATTCCTGGATAGCTTATTTGCATCCTTGTAATTGAATCTCATTCCCGAGCTCTGATCTTTAGAGTTCCAATGCATCTTTCTTATACCCCAGTAGTTTCCTTCTGAGACAGGTAACCTGACTGTTTTAACAAATGATTATTAATTTAAGGGTATCTTCATATTAAAAAGTAGGCTTTGTTGTGCGTGAGAAATACTCCCATGTTCTGGCAGAGAGCTTCAGGACCTCAACAGGCTGAGACACTTACTGTTTGCTTTTGCCATCTCATTTTTCAGGGCCACATACTCTTCATACAGTGGCCTCATCTGCTTGCCGACCTCGGACCTCCAGCCTTCCCAAGCCCAGAGCCTCTCATTGTAGTCTTTGCTGTTTGACATTATGTCATCCAAACCTGTTATTCCACAGCACCCAAAGGAAAATAAACATGCATTTATAAAAGTTATAAACAAATAAATAAACTTTAAAGAATTAAAAAGAAGGTGGGCATAAAGTTATTAAATGAAATCCACTACTCTTACTCTTAATATGTCTGCAAAGAAAAACTACTGAAATAATTTCATTGCTAACTTAAATTACTTCAATGTGATATAATCTACACTAAAGCTTTTTAAAGTTAAAAGAGCATCTGTGTGCTGAAACACACCTGTTTGGATGCTACCACCTTTGAACTATCCATCTGAAAATCACAAAGTCATCAACTAAAGTCAGTTTCTAAAACTTAGAGAGTAAAAGTAAAAATTTCAGAATCATCACTGAAAATTAAGTCTACCTGGTTCAAGCAGCAAGCACTCCTGTAGATTATTGGGGTTACAAACTTTTCCAGTACTATAGATGGTGCTCATTGTATTTAGAATTGTGTTCAACTGCAAATTAAAGATAATAAATAATATTAGAAATGGAAAGTATGCTCCAGAGAAAGTTAACGTTAAAATATCCTTTTGGTCATGTGAATTTTTTTAATGCTTCAAAAACAGCAATTCACATCTTCTTTATCAAGTGTCTCCCTATGTATAAGGAAAGAACATCACATTTAAGTTTCCGCACCAGGAACACCACACAGCCCCATAAGCACATAATAATTACATATGGAGTCATTGAGTTAAACATACCTGCCAAAACCCCAAGAAGGTTTCTAACCTAAACACACACAAAGAAATGCAAATGCTATAAACTGTCACTAAAAAATGATGCGGAAGCATCGTCTGGGAGTGGGGGAGGAGACTTACAACCTGGAGATTCGGGAATGGCTTCAAAGAGGAGAGGACATGAGAGTTGAGTCTCGCAGAACTAGGAATTGGTCGGGTAAAGAAGGGAAGTAGAAGACAGAGCCTAAACATGGGAGGAGGTTGGAAAAGACAAAACATTTTCAAGAGGTGATGGGATGTTGTATAAAACTGGAATATAATACTGACTAGGGGAATGGAGGACATGAAAATGGAGGGGTAAGCAAAGGATAGTTCTCAAGGATCATCCCTTCCACAATAAAGACTTTAAACTTTACGCAGTAGGTAACAAGGAGTAACGGTAACAGAGTAAAGTAGTACTTCTCACACCGTGGTCCATGGGTCAGTGCAAGTCAGCAAAAGATTTGGTTCTATTCTGTGATAAGTGTGGGAATTGAACTACTGCAAATATTTATAAACTTTACAGAACAACTTGATATTCCATGACCTCTAAGCATATGATCAATGAATTTAAAGTATTGATCTGTAATGGACTGTAATGGATTAACGAAGTATTGAACAATAAAGGAAGGGGGAGAGAAGAAAGGAAGGAAGGAAGGAAGGAAGGAAGGAAGGAAGGAAGGAAGGAAGGAAGGAAGGAAGGAAAGAAGGGAGTGAAAGAGAGGGAGGGACTGATTTTCTTCCACAGATGATTTAAGAAACACTGGACTGCCGGGGATATAGCTCAGCGGCCTAAGCACCTGCCTGGTGAGAGCAAGGTCCTGAGTTTGATTCCCGGTATCAAAACCAAAACAAAACAAAATTAATAAGAAACACTGGACTGAAAACCCTGTTTCTTCTCCTAATTGTTATTCCATTATTCTTTCACTGTGCTACAGAGTCATTATCCTGAAACATGAAATTAGTACCGTGCTTATAACTCCCACAGCATCCCATAGCCCAAACAATCAACCGAAATTCCTTGGCACAAAATCCTGTCTGGTCTCTTTCTCTACCTGCATCTTCAATCTCCCTCCTTCCTCTATACTAAACATACATCCTTAAGTATCCCCTCTTCCCAAACACTTCAAGCTCTTATTCTCATTTAAAGTGTAACTCTTAATCTTTGCACACATTACAATTATCTGGGGATCTTTTAAAAATAGCGTACCCATCTAGGCTAGACTAGCCTGTCTTTATTCAAACAGGCACAGTTTCTCATGGTGTCCTTGTGAAAATTATGGAGAACCAAGAAATGGATAAGATAAAGTGGATTAATAGCTAAGGAGATCATTGGATCCAAAGAATGTAGAACAATAAATATCAACTTGTATAAATAAATGCCATATGGCTTTATCTCTGTCCTTATCAGAAATTTGTATTTTTATAAATGTGGACTGGGACATACAGAGTTCCAGAAGATAAATAGCTGTGAAGGAAGAATTTGATGTTAAATAGCTAAATATTTTAGATAAAAATATTTCAATAGGCTCTATCTGGGGTCTGCAAACTATGTTCTGCAGAAAATCCTGTCTGCTGCCTGTTTTTGTAAAATTTTATTGGAGCACAGCCACATTCATTCCTTTATGTATTAGCTATGGCTGGTTTCCTGCTAAAATGGCAGAGTTGACTATTGTGACAGAAGCAATATGGTCTGCAAAACCTGAAATATTTATTATTTCTTCCTTTACAGAAAGAAAGTTAACTGGCTCCTGGGCTAGACAGCTGAGCAAAGAATGTTATTTTAGCAGAAAATAAAATAGGCTTTCTTTAATTTGGACAATCTAAGAAGAAATTTTTAAAGAGCCATTGTAGCAGGACGTTGGTGGGAGAGATTTAAAGATTTCATTGGCAGCAAGGGTTACATTAGCCAACCATGGCGTTTGGCTATCACAAACCAAAAGAGTCTAATGCAGTCCTAGACTGCCTTACTAGATGCAGACCCCAGAGGACCACACCGTATCTCTGCTCACCTCTGTGCAGATCAGAGCCCACTGTCTTCTTTCACTCTCAGAAAGACTGTAGTTGGGATGATGTTATGTTCTGGATCATCTAAAGGCTGTGTGCTAATGGATTGGCTCTCAGTCGGGAACACTACTGGGAAGAAGTGGACTCTTTTTTTTTTAGAAGTGGACTCTCTAGCAGATGGAAGCCTAGCTGGAGGAAGCAGGCACTGGGGATGTGCCTTTGAAGGGTGCATTTTGTCCCCGGCTCGTTCCCTCTCTCTTTGTCTCCTATCCATCAAGAAGTGAAACTCCTCCTTCCCGTGTTCTTTGCCACGATGCTCCGCCCAGGAGCAATGGAGCCAAGTAACCATGGGCAAAAACTTTTGAGTTGTATTAAATTATTTTCTGAGTTAAATTGATTTTCTTGGGTATTTTGTCAGAGCAACAGAAAGATATCTTTTATGGCCACGCTACGTAGGCACAGAAATACTGCTAATGTCAGCAGTACTATCTTTGCAGATAAAGGAAGCAGCCACAGTGATATAATGTTTGATATCTCCCAAACATTTCAACGCTCGGGATGAGTACTGAAACACTCACAAACATACCTGATTGTTCTTCTCTGCAGATAGCACAGAAGACCCACTGTGCTGAAGAGCCTGCAACTGACGCTTGACTGTGAGATTCTGAATTTCTTGTAGTGGATAAGCTTTGGCAAGGTTGGACTGTTGTTCATAAAAGGCAGACCAGAGGGCCCCAGCCTCATTCTGAAATGGCAAAAAATAAAATTTAAATTGGAATGGCATGGCTTTCATAGAGGAGAAGATACAGTACAAAGAACATCTGGTGAAACATCTACTATTTCCAGAGTGGTTTAGTCCCCTATTTTGAGGCAGGTCAGGGTTTAGGTTAAAAGTGACCAGGCCACATTTGGCTACTCTCTCTTTCTGGCCCAATGCCTAGTTTTCCCCAGGGTCCTGTCTCCAGAACTGGATGTGAATTCTCACAGATAATCCACATTGTGAGACCCTGGAATCTATGGCCTTTTTGCTGTGACGTAGGTGAGTTGGCCAAGGATTCAAGGAAGAATGTTCTAAAAGAAGAACCCAGTAGAGCTCAGAGTAGACATGATGGGAATACAGTCCACACGACCATGATAACCATGAGAAATGAGAACCAGCTCGCAGTAAGCCCCTGTATGCCATTATTTAAAACAAGGCTTCTGAGCTTAAATTGTGATCTCAAAGGCTTCTCAAGACATAGCCATTTGGCAGTCATGGTGATTTTCCACCAGCAAAAGAAATCAATAAGCGAGTGAGGACACCAGGATGCATCTCCCCTTCTTGAGTGTTAGTAGGAAAGTGGATGTTTCCAGACTTCTTAGTGCAGTCTTCTCTCAATGCACACATTTATTTCCACCTATCAGAGCCTGAAATGAACAAGTACTTTGTACACTGCACTGCTTTAAGGCCATACAAAAGAAATAGTGTACGAGACAATAAGAATTTCATTCCTGGAGCCAGACACCTCTGACTAGCTTGTAACCTTGGGCAAATTAGCCTGTCTGACCCACAGTTACCTTATCTGCAAAATATGAAGAATAATAAGACTTACATAAAAGGGTTGTTGTAGAGATTAGAAGAATTACAAATAATAAAATGCTAACCAGAGTGTCTGACACATTCTAAGATTCAATAAATGTTGTTACTTATACAGAAAAGGTCTTTGTCCTTAGGTTGCTTAAAATTTTATCAGATGGATAAGATATGCATCCTGAATGTTTCACTAATGAGACATGAGTATATAATACTCTATAAACTGTGAGAGGGCCCATCAGTTTCAGTTCTAAGAAAGGAGAAACTCATACAGGTGACTATAGTTGGCCAAGTCCTCATAGAAGAGGGACTTTAAGTAGATAAGAGTTGGAGGGAATGGAATACTTTGCAAAATAATTTATCTCTTTTTTCTATTTTAAGAAATAAAAGAAGGAAAACATATTAACAGACAGACATCCATTTACAAAATAGCATAAGAACAATACAAACAAAACAGAGTTACAGACAAAGTTGTAGGAAATTAACAGTGGTTGTTGTATTACTTATTGATATCTTCAAAGTGGTTTCTCAAGAAAATAAATAGAGATATACGAGGTCGATCAAACAAGTAATCACTAATTGTTCCTTTCTGTAGAGCAATAGAAGACACTAGTACATCTATGTTAGCTATCCTGTATATACATACTTACATAATTTCAAAATAAGTCATCTCATTTGAGATTTTAACAACTCCATGAGGGAGAAGGTCACTGTATCTCCATTGTGTATGTACAGAAAGGGGCCTAGAGAAATAGTGGAGCTGGCGGTCATCCACCAGCATTCAATCCTGGGCCTGTGGCTGACAGACACTGAGATAGCTCCCATGATCCCTACCTGCTGGCGGTCGTGGCCTCATGTGGTTTCCTCTTGAGTAAGAACAGACCTGTGGCTTGCTTTAACCAATCTCATACAGCAAAGGTGATGGGATGTACATATTTACATCACATAAGATTGCAGATTTTATCATGCCAGAAGACTCTCTCCCTTGCTGATTTTAATGCAGCAAGACGTCATGGTATATATATTCTATGGAAAAGCAAGGCAGCCTGGGATTGAAGATGGCTTCTGATAGCAAGAAAAACAAGGACCTCCGTTCAGCAGTACACACAGATCCTAATGTAACACTAGCCATGTTAGCTTGGAGTGGATCCATCCCTAGTCAAGCATCAGACAAGATCATAGTGCTTGCTGCCACCTTGAGTGCAACCGTACAAGACCTCCAGGATGCAGCTAAATTGTGCCTGGGCTTCTGACCTGCAGCAACTGTGAGATAATAAATATGTGTTATTTTAAGCACTAACCTTGAAGTAACTTTTTATGCAATAGGTAACTAGTACAGCTCTCAAAGGCCGGACTCCAGGCATGATTGCTCTTTTCAGGCCAAGAAATTTTACGTCTATCCTTTGAGCATTAGGTAGTCACTGAGAGGTTCTGAATAAGCATGTGACATGATGAAAATGGTGTGCAGAAGTAAAAGTAACGGACCAGAAAAGAGATGGAGAAAATAACGGTAGTGAAGAAAGAAAATAATTTCTCTCTTTATTGAACACTCACAACGTCTCAGGAACTGCTTCTCAGTTAATGTTCACGTACAACCCTTTGGAGGGAGCTACCACCTCTATTTCAGAAATGAAGGGCATGAGGCACAGAGCAAAGTAACTTTTCCTAAGTCACATAGCTAATAATTGGAAGAGCCAAGGCATCAAGCCAGGTGTATGTCTTGTCGCCCAACACCTCCCTCTCCCACCGTTACCTCCAGAGCTCCTGCTCTGAGCCATTGTCCTACCTATCTTCATTCAGTCCAGGATAATTTACTGTCAGGTAACATTTCTGGTAAAATTTTGAAGCCAAAGTACATGAACAAATTTATTCTTGATTTATTCTGGAAACAGCACAATCCCCCAAATGCCTCAGTCTTAGAACATTTCTTATTATACTGCTTGTGGGAACTTTGAGACTATCTGATTTGATTTTGTCACTACCACCCTACAAGTGTTACACTTTATACCACCCAAAATTATGTTGCCTTGCATTTTGGCTCCTGAGGGCATACTGCTCCTTCCCAAGCTGTTCTTTGTAATATTATTTATGACGTATTTCATATCCTTATGCTAAGATTCCTGGGCCTAAATAAAGCAAACAGGTTATCTGTTATGCAGAGATTTACATCAGTGCATGCATACCAATCAGATGATCTAGGTAGTGGCCCATAGCTATATGTAGTTTATAGACCCGAATGATGGAAGAAATGAAACAATACAGCAGTTTACATAACTCCAGGGCTTGAAAAGAACAATTACAGGTAAAATTAGTGCCAGTCCACAGCACCTCTGTGCAAAGGCAGGAGAGAAGCAACTAAAATAATCAAATTTTCTGCAGCCATCTTGGTGGGAGAAGAAGGTGTTGGGGGACAAGACATGCATTGTTCAGGATGACCACAAAAAATTAAAACACCCTCTGACCTCCGTCTATCTCTGTAGCGGATACCATATTCCCATTCTGTGAAAGATCTTTGCAACTTCAATGACCGGAAGTATATAATGCAAAATCATATTTTATAAATATTCAAAAATATATCCTACTCTATTGTGGCCCTAGCTATACGTATAGAATAAATACAATGATTTCACTATGCCTTTAAATGTTTTCAAATGAGCTTTTGTATCCAGTCCATAGGTCTGGTGGTCTCTAACAAAATTGTGACAATTTTACTTAAACAATTGCTATGCTTTGGTGATAAGTTGCTTGAGACTCTTTTGTTTTTCTATAGCTCACTATCCCCTGAACCTACCTGCACTTTTAGCAACCTCTGAACTACTTCCCCTGTATGTGTGAGGGTTCACTGAAGACAAAAGATGAAAAAGCTGGGTGGTAGTTTTTCATCCATCCAGTACCTTGGAGCTCAAAAGTCTCCTAGGAAAACCTCTCCCCCTATTCTGGCCCAGTTTCCAGGGATGGTTCTTAAGGCCACATCAGGTTCAAAGATGAAACTACCTTGGTTACTTTTTAAGTATGCTCACAAGCTGAGCTATTTTTTTAAATGCTTATTCTGTGTAACAGAGTAGGTAGTTTAAGTGACATGACTGTGAATTCCACCACTCCACTTTATGATTCAAAAATTATTTTTTCTATACTTAGGTGGGAAGTTTAATATATTAAATTTTTAGACATTATAACTTTTTAATTTTTGCTGTATTTTATGCTATGAGAAAAAGGTGGTGGCTCAGCCCCGACTTCCATTTTACTTGCACAATGACACTTTTTTTCTCCCTCCCTTCCTGTACTTGGTATAGGTATTTTGTGTGTCATGAAGTATGGATGGATCTATAAGGGACACGGGTCAGGTCAGCATGCTCTCTTTGGGTAGAAAATAGCGGGTTAGAATTGCCTCACCAGGAGTTCACTGTAACTCCAGCCCCAAAGACACAGGAACTGGGCATGCCTGAAGACTCCACAGGCCCAGAAGAAAGTCACTGAATAAGCTCTAAAGATTACTCAAAGCCTAAGTGTGGGCCTCTTGCTTCTGATGACTCATGAAGAAACATACTTTGGAAGTGTTCTTGAAGACCAGAGCTCCGACAGGGAAGTCCTCAACACATCAGCTGCATGGACAGGAGTTTGGACCAGATGTAGTAGTTACTGCTAAATATTGGAAGAGTAAACCAGGATACTTCTGCTAGCAGTGAGCACATTTTGCTCTCTCCAGAAATAAAAATGGTCCAGCAACCTCTTATGTTGCTGTTAAAAAATCACATGCACTCGGGCCTGTGTGTATTGCTCAGTGACATAAGCGTCTGCTTGGCAAGCTCAAAGTCGTGAGTTCGATCCCCAGTACCAAAAAACAAACAAACGAACAAAAAATCACATGCACCCTTTCTGAAACTGATTTAAAAGTTCCCAATTTCTCCCTGTGACACTGTGACACTGGATTTGTCTTTATGCAAGTTAAGGTCAAGATTGAGTTGGACTAACAAATAAGAAAGCTCTTTGGTATCTTTTTTTTTTTTTTTTTGCTTAAATGCTAACTCTTATTTATTCCATTTTATGTTTCCAGTTAGGTTTATGATTTGGATTTCCTGCTGCTTACTAATTTTCTGATTAATATAATGAATTTGCTGATTCTGTACTCTTCAGGAAGATTTGCAAAAGATTCTATTTCAAAAACAAACCAA